CTCTTTGGTGCATCCCTCCCGCCCTGGCCGTGGCCTCAACCGGGCGTCCCGCTGGCCTCCCGCCTCTCCGCCCATCGCTCCCTGCCTCCGCTCGCCGGCGCCCCCCACCGGCGTCGCGCGTCGCCGCTCCCCGCCCTCTCTGCCGCCTCGCGGGGGCTTGTTTTCCACCACCACCACCATGAGTAGGAGGAGGAGGGGGTCCTCCTCCTCTTCTTCTTCCTCCTCCTCCTCCTCCTCCACATCCCTCCCCCCTCCAACTTATGGTGGTGGTGGTGGAAAACAGGCCCATCAGCCTCTGCCGACCCGCAGGGTGGGCCTCTTGTGTCGGACGCCTTGGCCCGTGGGCCCGGCGCGCCGGCGCTCCGCTCTCCGCGCTGGCGCCCCAAGCCAACACCGCCCCGTCGGGCGCGGCCTCCCGCCGCCCCGCTGCCCGCCCAACGCTGGCGCGCTCCCTGCTCGCTGGCCCCGCCGCCCTGGCCTCGCCGCCGCTCGCCCTGCCCCCGCCCGGCTCCCGCTGGCCCGGCTGCCGTTGCTGCCTCTGCCCCGTGTGGGACCCGCCGTCTCGTTTGTCTTCCGGCGCGCGCGCGTCGGCGGAACGCTAACGCTAACGCTCGAAATGTGTGTGTGTGTGCGTGTGTGCGTGTGTGTGTGTGTGTGTGCGTGTGTGTGTGCGTGTGCGTGTGTGTGGGTGTGACGTGTGTGCGTGTGTCTGTGTGTTTGTGTTGTGCGTGTTGTGTGTGTGGTGTGTGTGTGTGTTGTGCGTGTTGTGTGTATGTGTGTGTTGTGTGTATGTGTGTGTATGTGTGTGTGTTGTGTGTGCGCGTGTGTCTGTGTCTGTGTCTGTGCCGGTCTCTGCGTCTCGGTGTCTCTGCGTCTTTTTGTCTCGGTGTCTGTGTGTCTCTGCCTGGGATCTGCATCCGTGGACGGAGCCGCGGCCACAGGAGTTGATCCTTGGGGAGGGGGGCGCTGGGCAATTCTTCCGATTAGCCTTGGCGTCGGCCTCTGTTGGGGGGAGGCCGCCCTCATCTCGGCCTCCTCCTCCTCGTCCTCCTCCTCCTCTTCCTCCTCCTCCACAGTCCTCTCCCTGGGAGCCCGTATGGGTGCTTCCCTGATCCATCGGGAGACAGGAGGGCCCCAGGGCTCCGAAGTCGCGCATGATGAGACCTTGCATTTGGGTCTCGCGGCCGCCGTTGCACCAAGGAGGCGGAGAGGGGGGAACGGTTGGATGAAGAGCTGCATGCGCATGCCTCTGCACGTGTCGCCGACCACTCGGATGAGGGGTGCTCCATGTTCCGCGTAGGATGGGGGAGGCAGCGGAGAATCGGGCAAACGATCGGAGGAGCAACGTAGCACGCTGATCGTCAGTATGCTAAGTCATTTCCGAGATCGCTGGTTCGATGCTCCATTATTTCTTCCAGCGTGGGGTTATCCTTCGAGATGTTATTGCTTCAGACAGTGTTGCAGCTTTCCGCAACCACAGTGACGAGCTCAAACATTGCTCCCAACATTTCAGTTCATGGCGCAAGCGTTGCAGCGTGCGCCCCGCCAGGAATTAGCACTGAGCGCTACCTCAGTCACAGCCGCCATCAAAGAATGCAGGAAAACAGCGCAGTGGTTCACCGCGGCAAGGCTACTGCGAGACGCCTCGCAGACGCGCGTGCAAGGCAACATTGTGCTGTACAATCTCGTAATCGGCTTGTGCGGGAATAGCCGGCAGTGGCAGCAGGCACTCGTTTTGTTCAGCGAAGTTTCGCAGGCGAGGCTGACGCCAGATGCGTTCAGCTATAGTACTGTGCTAAGCGCTTGCGAAAGGTGCGGACAATGGCAACAGGCGGTGTTCTTGCTTGACGGCTTTGGGCGCTCAGCTTTAGAGCCAGATATTATTTGCCACAACGCTGCAATTAGCGCATGCGGAAAAGCTTTGCACTGGCAGCAGGCATTGGCATTGCTTAGAGACGCGGGCCGAAGCACGGCGGAGCTGGATACTTACAGCTACAACTCTGCAATCAACGCTTGCGAGAAAGGCTGGCAGTGGCAACGGGCGATGTCCTTGCTCGACGAGCTTTGTGGAGCAAAGATGCAGCCCAGCGCTGTCAGCTACAATGCTGCAGTAAGCGCATGCGGGAAAGGTGGGAAATGGCAGCTGGCCTTGATGTTGCAGCACCAGTTGCGGCAAATGCTGTTGGATCCGACAGTAGTAACTTACAACTCTGTAATCAGCGCTTGTGAGAAAGGCGGTGCCTGGGAGGGAGCATTGTCGATCTTTTGCGATTTACAGGAAGCGGCGTTGGAACCAGATGTCATTAGCTTTTCGGCTGCGATCAGCGCGTGCGAGAAAGGCGGACAGTGGAAGCGGGCGTTGACTCTTCTCCGCAGCATTCGTCGAGCGGCTTTGAAGCCAGATCTAATATGCTGTACGATGTTCGCCGTTGCCCTCGCGTTGCAGATTGTACGGGGCAGGCAGAGGAAGCGCCCACCACGTCACCGAAGGCTTTCTCAGGTTCGGTACCAGAGTCCGCATGTTGCGGCCCGTCGCCCTTGCAGCCGCTGTGCCGCCAAAGGACATGTATAGTCAGTTCCAGCTTTCATGCTTTCTGTTTTTTGGCATGTGTGTTGGGACCCTGCGAGATCCCATAGGACCGAGACCCTGCAGCAGACGAGCCACCTCTGCAAGGTTCTCCAGTTGAGGGGTGGATCTATTGTAGTATCTCTCCCATCCGCTTGCTGGACTGGGGCCCTCCCAGATCTTCCCCCACGTGACATGATCGGCCCAAGGTATACCGATGTGCCCCCCGACAGGCTTCGTCGCGCGAGCTGACAGGCAAGTCTTGCCGGGGCCCCCCCCTGCCGCCGCCACGTTGTGCCGCAGCGCTGCCGGCCCTGCCGCGGGGGGGGTCTGGACTGGCTGGTTCGACGATTCAGGGCATAGCCCATCCCGCTCCCCCCATCATTCGCAGGACGATCGTGAGCGATTGTGGGCTCCTGTGAGCGCGTGGCAGCCGATTTGAGAGCGTGTGGGCGTTTGGGAGTGCCTGCGGACGGGCGCGCCCTTCTGTGAACGGTTGCGTGCGCATGCAAACCCAAAGCTCACAATGTGACCCAGGTTCTGGATGCCTCCGGGTCCCAAGGGTCCCATTTCGCGCGCCCGTGATCGTTGCCACTCTCCGGCTTTTTCTCTCCTCGTTCCTGCTTCTCTTTTTCTCTTTTGGCCTCACGTCCGAGATGCCGCTCGTCGGTTGGGCCATGGGCCTGGCGATGTACACGCACGGCAGCTTGGCTGCCTATCTGTGTGTCTTGTGCGACGGCGGGAGAGGAGGAGGAGGAGGACGAGGAGGATGAGGAGGAGGAGGACGAGGAGGACGAGGCGGAGGAGGCAGACGTGGAGGAGAAGGAGGAGGAGGAGGAGAAGGAGAGTCCGCAGCCAAATTTGGCTCGAGTAGCCATTGTCTCGAGGTGGTTCAGTGTAACCAGGGCTCCCCGCAGCCGCTTTTCGATCATCTCCCGATCCGCTCCCCTTGAAGGGCCGCTCGTTTGGCCCAGGGAGCGGTTGTCTGGTTTTCAGCTTCGCTGAATTTCGGTGTCTGGGTGCGGCTGCCAGGCAAGCGGCGAACGATGAGCAGTAGCGGAGTACCGACACGGCAGCAGACGGATCATTCCATGGTCGAGGCTCTCGAGGCCATGGCTACACATTGTTCGTTTCTAATTATTCTAAAATTCTTCGAATTTTTGGGGGCAAGAATCTTTCATTTCTAATTGTTCGATCCTGGGCCTTTTCCTGGCCACTAGGGGGCCATGAACAATAAGAAACGAACACAGTTAGAAATGAGCACGATTAACAATGAACGACGTGTGCCGACACAGCAGCAGATGGATCATTCAATGGTCGAGGATCTCGAGGCCATGGTTGCTTTTCCGTCCCAGGTCTCAACGCCCGTTCCGAGGTGCTGCAGGTTATCGTGCTGCACGTGCTGGCGAGGATGGCGAGCCCCCCTGGTAATACACGTGCGGCCCTCCTGCCCCGTGCCTCCGCAACCACTGGCGCATCGAGTGCTGCTTGTAGTGGGGTTCCAGTCCCTCGCCCCGCTGGCGTCCCTGGAAGCGTACCCGTCGTCCATCGCGATGGCCAACATCAGCATCCTGCCGCGCCCGTCGCTAGTGTGGTACCCCCCTCCCTGGTGGATAGCAGCTCGCAGGTGGCGCGCAGCCTCATGAAGGCCATGCACAGACGCCTGGCGCTGCGGCACCACATAATCCAGATCAGCAAGCCCTTTGTCTACACGCACACGTCGAAGATATTCGAACGACTTTACTTGCGTCGATCGTGTCCGCCCAGTCCAACGTCGCTCTCTCCCTCGGCAGGCGTGCGAGCGGCGTCGCGACGTCGCTCGCGACCCTCAGCCAGCAAATGGATAGTATAATCCACACCGTCGAAGTTGAGCAGCGTAAACACGGCCGCCGATTTGATGGGATCGGTGGTCACCTTGGACGTATCCGAGCGGAGCTGCGCATGGCGCAGCAGGAAGGGGCCCCGCCGCCAAAGTTCCAGATGGGCCCAGCTCGTTCAACAGGCAGGCCGACGCCGCCATTTTGGCGGTACGTGCTCAGACCCTCGTCACTAATGAGGCGGTGGCAGACAGCATCTTCTAGTCGCCCGTCGCCTGAGGAGTGGAAGTTCGACGAAACCGTCCTGTCCGCCACGAAGTACACGGCCCGCTTTCAGGGTGACGAGAACGCGGATGCGAGGAAGTCCACCAGGCCCTGGTCGCGCTCAAGACCTCAGCGCCAAGTGGTTCCGCTACTTGGCGATCATTCACTTCTGAGAGTGCGGCAGGTGTCCGCGCATCGTTGCCCGTTGGCCCCGACAAGAATTTGCACCAGATTCGCCGTGAACTTGGCACCGCCCAGCCATCCAAACCGCCCACCCCCGCAAAAAAAAGTTTTTCGCATACAAGTTCAAAGGGGAGTCCCTGGCAGGCTGGAAGCCCCTCGTCAAGGTCGCTCCCGTGGAAGGCCAGGAGAACCCGTCATTGGACTTTGCCGACGACAACGTTGCGTCCGAGCAAATGGACCCAGCCGTCTTGCGTCGCGCTGGCACCGAGGCAGTCGGCACTCAGGAGGAGACGCGGTGGTCTTCCCTGTGAATTGAGTACCCTGTGACACGGGTCTGATTGCCCAGCTGGCGCCTCTCCTTCCGTTGGCATGCGCGTTGTCACGTGGGGCGCGTCGTCTCTGTTCCACCGCGGCGATGACCTGCGCATTCGCAGGATGGATATTTCGCCAACTTGACGGCCGGCACGACCATTGCCCTTCAGGAAAATATTTGTAATTTCCATATCCTATGCTATGCTTATGTCTCTGTCCACACTAACTGTCGCACAGGAGGCGCGATCGCCCACCCCCCGACTTTCGAGAGTCCACCGCGCGCAATGCCATGACTGGCGCCCCCCCCCATTCTGCTCGTCGCCACTGAACCCGATCGTTCCTGGAAGGGCTCTTCTGACCAGCATCCCGGCGTTGAATAATCGGCGTTGGGCGAAGCACTTTCGCATTCATAAACGCTGTATTTCGACCGCGCAGCCTGCGCTGCCGCTGACCTCGACATCCGAGACTTCGCGCGAAGCTGGCCAAGAATCACTTCGCAATGCGGTTCTCATCGCGGGGGACTTGAACCTTCCCCCTTCACGAACCCGCCCCTCTCAAACTTGTGGCTTCGGACCGCTCCTCCTTCGCCGACCTCGCCCCTCCGCCTCTCCCCGCGCCATGGGGGAGCGCCTGGGCTGGGGCCGTGGAATTTGAGCCCCCCCCCCTTCCCCATGCCCGCCTCACTCGCGCCCCCTCCGCCCCTGTGCTCGCAGGCCGAAGTTGCGCTTCGCTGCCCAGCTGGATTCTTCCCCGATGCGCGTCGGGAGGGAAGGCGCGCGAACGCCCCGAAGTCTCGGGCACCCAGGGCATCTCGGACCGCGCCCCCGCCGCGGGTCGCGTCGCGGCGAGGCCGTCGCCGCCCCCGGGGGGCAGCCCCTCCCGAAAGCGGTTTCCGAGACGAAAGGGCATCGCACTTTCCTTCAGCAGGCCGTTGCCGCCGCGCCGCTCGAGCGCCCGTCGCCAGCCCTGGCCCGCGAACGCCGCGAACCATTCGCGTCTGGAGCTGGCCGATACGCGCGAGACCTGATTATCATGAAGATACCAAACTCAGAAACAGCCCAATGCCGCATAGTGGAAGGCGCGGCTCGGGCTCTTGTTCGCCAGGACTGGGTTCGCGAATGCAAGCATTGCCGCTCGCGCGCGCTATGCAGAGAGCACTTGAATTTGACTTGCGAGACCCGCCCCATCTCCCTCCTCGACCCTCAGGCCTTCACGACCCCTCCAACCGCTTCCACATTCATGCCCCCGACGCCACGCAGCGCCCCCTGCAGGCTTGTGCTCCGCGGCTTCAGAACCCGAACGCGATCGCTCGCGTTCGGGTTCTGTGGCGCGCTGGCCCCCGGTCGATCGGAGGATGACTCTCGCAGGCGTGAAAGCCGATAGCGATCGGATAACTCAAGAGCCGGCTGCGATCTCAGGCGCGCCGCGCACCGCCGCGAGGGGGCGGAGAGATGCCCGGGCCAACTCTGCCCCCCCCACCCCCCCCCGATTCAATTGCAGCGAGCCGCCCCCCCCCCCTTCCGACTTATCCTGGCTTGAAAAAGTACGTCGACATTCACGCCCATGGCTCCCCAGGCCCCGATGCCCCTACTGCGCCTGGAAGTGCGCCCCTCATGGAGCGAACGAACGCCCCGCTCAACAACTCGACGCGCTGGATCCAGTCTGGCGGCAGCCTTCTGTTTGCATGCACCTCGCCCGAGGCGTCTTCATCCCCAAAGGCTCGGACACCCCCCCCCGGCCTCCCCGGAGGTGCTCGACGCCCGTCGGAGACGCGCCCGCTCGGCCTGAAAAGCCGCGATAACAAGGTGACCGCGGGAGCGTCGATTCGGCGCCTGACCCGCGCTCTCACCGACAGTCTCGACGCTGCCCGGCGCGGATTCTACGCCCCGCCGCAACGTCGGCAACAACGTCGTTGAGCTCGACGCGCGCAGCCGTCGCGCCAGATGCGTTCTGACCCCCCATTCCCCCCCATCGCTTCTCTGCCTCGACTGTGGGCGCGCCCTCCCCTCCATGTCCAAAGAGTGGCTATTCGCCGTTATCCGTCGCATCTCTTTCCCTGCTCCTCGCTTCTTCCTCCTCGTCAGCCCCTGTTCGCGCGTGATCCGCGCGGGGCTGATTGAGGGCGGCGAAATCGCCATTCCTGGAACGCTCTCGGGCCCGACCCTCCTCTCCAACGCTCGGCGGCCCCCGGGGGCCGAAGGGGAAGGACTTGCCCGATCTTGCGCCGGCGATATTGACGCCATCCGTTACCGTGCGCGCGACAAGCCCCTGCTTTTCAGGGAGTTTAACAGCGCCGAGCACCTCTCCCACTTCGCCCTGAAGGGGGCGGCGCGCAAGCTCGTCCCGCTTGCGAACAGC